GACTAATAATGCATTACTTATGGCCGCAACAGAAGTACCCCACCAAATCGTGTTCCAAGTTATCAACTTGCCGGTTCTACATCGTATCTACAAACATTTCATACCCATCATTCTGTGGTACATCATCTATCCAGCTCCTTACCCTCGTCGGGTTGCATCGCCACCCAACCAACACCGCATTGTGAAATTGGGCCCTCATTGAATGTCAATTCATTGGCAACGCACTAGACAAATGAAATGAATAGGCAACTGTGGCAGTGGTCGTTGCATATATATCGATGTGATAAAAAGAGAGGGCGGTTGCGATTTTTAACAAAAAACGCCATCATCAAGTACTTTGAGTAAGAAGGTTAGGGGAGAGATGTACAAGCACGAGGGTGTAGCATACAGTGATTAATAAATCGAGAGACGGAAACACACACACAAAGAGGGACATCATTAGCAGTTATTGAAAAGATAGGAAACGATAGGCACAGAAGGAGGGAGATAGGTAAAGTATGCGGTAAATGACACGTGAGAAGAGGATGAAGTTAATTCGCTTGAATGGAAATGCCATTGCACTGAGAAAGAGGAGGAGGAACAGGCGATGAATATGGCTACTGATACTGTGTACACGCGGCATTACGAGGAGCCGGGGGAGGAAGTGGCAGCGGCGGTGGTGACTTCGATAACTGTGGAAGGGATACTTTGCTGGCCCTTTGCTTGCACCCTATGAATGTCTGCGTAGAGCGGCTCTGAATCCAACCCTAGATGATTTGAAGATAGGCACAACCACAAAGTTGTATTAAAACCGAATTGCTTTATTTGAAAAAAAGAAACACGAAATGTAAAGCCTTGACTGAGAAGCGCAAAGGCCGAAATGCAACATAACACATCCCTGCCATGTGGCCGCACATGCACCACTTCCAAACACCACAAAATAAATCAAATAATTCTTATTAAAATGATTTAAAAGGTGGCCTGCAAGCCGTCTACGTTGCTGCATAGAGGATTCACGGGAATGAGGAGTGAAATGGTTAAGACTAAGGCCTCTTGCCTGCAAGAATGTTATCCATAATGCCAACGGTGTTCAGATGACGCGAGTTGTGCCGTTTACGGTCATTGCTCTGTTTGTCCTAGAAGGGGCAATAAGACCAAATCGAGGTTAAGGCAAATACCCCTCAAAGCGCATCAAAGTAGCGGCAACAATTTGGCCACTTTAGATGCAGTCGTCGTAGGAAATAATTGCTTTCAAGCACTGTCGACTTTAAGTAATGTAATCGCGAAGTAAAGCGACTCTCTCGACGACCAACTATGCAGGGACCAAGAACAACCGAAAGCTTCGCTTTGCTAAACACAAGAAGGACACAACCGAAAACTCATACATGAGTGTAGGTGGATTGGTTAAAGAGGCAGCATTTTTCTTTCGGACTTAAAGGATTTAATTTTGTGCCGCAGAAGGCGCCTAATGAGGAAAACACAAATCAAGCCATCATTGCAGGTAAGGAGAGACCAGTAAAACGCATCACACCACCGATGCCCCTGACCAGAAGACGGGAGAAGAGGACTCACGTGACCGTTGCGAGAGGAGCGAGAGGCGGACTCGCCAGAGCGCTGGCGATGCGCACCATTGTCGCTCGTAGTGCCGTTGCGGCGGTGAACAGAAGTGGAGGTTTTGCATGATGAGGCCTTTGCCGGATTTCGCACTCGCCTCTCCGCATCTGATGTCCACTTCTAAGTTAAATGGAAAAAATGCGTTCTAGTTAATAGTCACATGGTGATAAATAACGTTCCATGAAAACAAACAATCACGTTCAAAACCACTTTACTGCTAACAATGGATTTCACAGTCCGAATGTGGACACGCTCTCTTATGGGCGACTGTGTTCTCTCATAGTGGTGAGGGGGACATTGTTACTGTGTGCCTTTTCTTTTAAATTTGCCACAAAAAGCTGACAAAATTAGCTTTTAGGAGATGCGCACAGACCTCCTCTGTCAATAAAAGGCAAACAAATGTCTGACTTGGTGGCAAATTTGGTAGTTATTGCATTTTAAGGTATAGGGCATATAAGGAGAGAGAACAAACGAATTCGACAGTTTCCTTGGTAGAAAGAAAGGCTTGAAAGCTGACAAAGGAGAACCAGGTAGTGTAATACGTACTGTACTGCAGCCTGGCAGTAAATTGACAGCTTAAAGAAGGCCTCTTGCATTCGAACAATTACTGAAATGAGAAGTGTCAAACTTAAGGGATCACAACAGTTGCTTTTCAGCGCTTTCAGTTGAAGCGAATCCCTAACATCATTACCACCTCGTCAGTTGAGATTGCAAGCACAAACAACCTTATTTCACGAGGAGCACCTTTCCAAACGTCCATTGTTCCTCGTGAAAGATAATCAGATAACGAGAATGCACACTCCGTGATGGGAGTGAAGGAACTGCTTAGAGGATCTATTCCTGT